TTTGATCAATTTTCAACAAAATATTTAAGTAAATTTTGAGTAGAAAAATGACTAAAACTTGAAATATATAGAAAGAATGAACAAAGGGCAGAGGACGACCAGAAGGAAAACTGGGCTCTTGTTCCTATTGTTCTGTATACACAGCAGGTCTTTGTTGTGCTGTTCGGGCAGAATACCGAGGAGGTAGCTGACCCATCCTACGTCCTCTGAATGGAGGGGGTGCCAGTTACCAGATCTTTGCTCCGTTTATTTCATCTGTTTATTTAAAAATGAAAGCACTGGTAAATATTATTGGTACATATGAGCTATGTGACAACGATGTTTAACCATGTGGAGCTGCCATCCCTGGTTAGACATTTAAGACTTTAAACAATCAGTTTAATAGTAACATAAAACAGAGGCAACATAAAACAACAAGGCAGATTTATCAGACTATATACAGGAAGCTTTTGTGCAATTTAACTCCCCCCCCAAAATGTGAACCTTATGTTTCTTTTGTTACTCTCAACCAGAACAGGAACAGGACAGAACAGGAGGGTGCAGAATAAAGGGACTTACAGGCTAAAAGTTAACATTTTGTATGCAAATACGATTCAGCAACATATATCACATCAGGAGATGTGCTAGGATCTGGGTGGTGGTACAGGATGTACTACACTAAGCAATTAAGCAATGTCCCTCTGTGGTTTCAGAGAAAAGCTCATCAGATTACAAGAAAAATGCAATGTCATCCAGTTACAAGCAAGGCTGGGATGCTCAGTTCCTGATAACACAATTTTTTAGTTACTCTGTGACACAAAATTATCCTGGTAAACATTTTTATGATGCGTAGAGGTGTGGTTGTATCAGTTTGTCATCTTCTGCTGGTAGTACATGAAGTGAATGAATGTATTAAAGCTTGACACCAAGAAAAAAGTTAAACAGTATGCTCAATAAACGTTGAGTTCAACAGTAGTGACTGTTTTAACAAACCACGGTCTACTCAGTTAAAAATGGGTACTTGGATCTGCTGCGCGTTTCACAAATAGTTAGTAAGTTGCCTGAAGCACAAGAAGTGTGTTTGTTTTGTAAAAGCAAAGGGTGCCAAGGTGACCCTCGATAAACCGGCACAGTAAAAAAAGCTGCACCACTAAAACAGATTGTGCTCTTAATAAAGTATAGTAATAATGTGCCATTATCATAACTATAAAAAATATATTTAGCATACATCTTAAAAGATTACCTTATTTGCTATACAACCATTTGCAATCCGGCAGAACTTAATCCTAAACAGTGAACATTACTACAGCTATAAATTAAACACTGACAGCAGAAATAAATAAAACAAAATTATAGTCAAATTATATCAGCATCATTACAGCAGCATCAATAAAACTCTGTCTCTCTCTGTTAAAGAGCAACAACATTAAACAGGAAACAAGCCTATGCTTTGAAAGACTCGCATCTGAAAATTTGTGTAAAAAAGCAAACCAGAAAAGACTTGGCAACATCCTGTTTCGTGTTATTGAAATACTTCACATAATCTCCCACCACAGTTTTTCCAGAGAACTGCCTCTTGAACAGTTCTCTAGACAAGTTCAGACCTCCCGATTAACATGCTCTCCAAACCACATACACAAATACACACATGTCAAATTAGCAAGCACTTGGCTATAAAACAAACCCTTCATTGTTGCTACTGACTATACGGCCCATAATTCACATCCCTGGAGAGCCAGACACAGCCTCACTGTACGCTGTATGAAGAGTTCAATTATTCACCCTTGCCTCGCCTCTTCACTCCTGAACACGCCACGACTGTCATGTTTGTTCTCCTTTGCACGCTTCCCATAATAAACTCCCTGTCCCCCTTCCGCCAGCCCTCGTTCAACATGAATATCTGATCTCGCAGAGTCTCCTCCTTTTCTCTCCTTGTCGGCTATCTCAAATTTCTCCCCCTTCCTGCAGAGCCAAGAAAGTTTCAATAATGAATTGAGGAGAACAAAGGAGCCCTGGTCAGCAATTACAGATGAGTAAGAACTTTTAGGTCTTCCTGAAGCACTTTGAATCAGGACCAAGCTTTGCTTTCCAACAATATATTGGTTACATTTTTAACAAAACTAATGAACAACAGGGAACCAAGAAAGACAAATAAAGGTAGGCACAAAGGTTGGCAAACTCCATTTCTACTTTGATCTTTTTTTTTTATTGTGTTCTGTAAAGGACGTTGTAACCATGTTTTATAAAGTGGCCGAATGACAAAGTTTATTATCTTGACTTTTACTGCTTTTCAACGTCCAATAAACCCTGGTCATTTCTCAGCTGTGTTAACAAAGCTATCACCTAAGAAGTACACTTTGTTTTCAAGGTCGAGATAAAACCTTTCTGAGCAAATGAAGGAAAATATCATTTTTTCTCTAGTTACCAATCATCAACTTCTTCCTTATCTTATTTAAGGCTGAATAAACAAAGCTGGGCTTGGAACCATGAATGGTACGAAAGATGGGTGGAGTCAAAGTGTTATCACCCACTGGTTTGTGGTCATATTGTGAATTCCTGTTATACAATGTCTTCTGATTGACAAATCCTTAACCAGTGACGATATCCTGGGTAACCCTCCTTTCTGTTTCTCAAAATGACCATAATTATATAAAATAGACTTTGAGTTTTACTCAGTATGACCTGAAAGGAAAAGGGTTGACTGAGGTCAGAGCATAGGGGCAGAGGGCCGTTTTCAACCTGAAGTCCTTTTGCAATCACCTGAGTTGCTTCCTGGTGCTCATTAGAAACAATGCAGTTCCATTTACCACAGGATGGACCATAAAGTTACAACAGTCTGAGGACACACATCTCTGTTGTGATATCACTTAACAAGCAAAATGAGCTGCACAATTATTAATACCTATATTTTGTTTAATTTCTAAGTTTGATATATCACAAACTGGGCAGATTAAAGGTTTGGCATCAATAATATATTGCATTGTATTTAATTGTGATTTCTACTTCTTAAACTCATAAATGCACTCTGTTACACCAAACTACGTGTTTAATAACCATTTAATATTACTGTATATATTTTAACTTTAAATTATTTGTATAAGATATAGATAATATAGCCTTTTTATTCGTAATGACCTTTATCGCAATCTACTTATTAGAGCTATTCAATCTATTCTGTTTAGGTTGTATTCATTATTTAACATCTATAACAAATCTGAGAGTTTCACAACTTTTGGGATAAATACAATATATCCTGTTTGTTTTATGGTCTTATATTACAGTTTTGTAAACCTCTGCGTTCACTTCTTTACTGTAAAGACTAGTTTAGCTGCTCTCCTTTCTGCTCATCATCTTAACAACTGGGACAGATCAGCACATCTCTTTAAGCTAGTAAATACGTGGGACACTGTTTAAACGTGTAAATAAGCACAAAATAAAAACGCTGAAGTCCCAGATGAAGTGAGGTATCTCTCACTAGTTGCCTGTTGAATAACCAACCCCCCACCCCCCCGTCGCTTGGTGCCGACCTGCGTCCACACGGCCACGAAAGCAGAGATAAGGCGACCTGTAAAAACCCAAACAAATCACCCCCTGGCACTTTGTAAACTTTGCCCGACTTTCTCACACAAGCACAGCCGTAGACTGGAGTCTCAAACTGTGAAAACCTAAAGGATTTAACGTATTTAAAGTAGCCACATAAGAGTTGGCTAAACACTTTATGAGAGTTAGAAACGCACCGGCTCCCGTTAGCCACGCAGCTAGCGTCGGCTAGCATCTTAACGTTACTACCAACATTTATTCCTCGGATTTAAAATCAATGAACTTCTTCAAGGGTTCAATAGGTCGAGTTCTTCGCTGAGACTCTGAGGACTCACCTGGTGTAGACAGTCTGTAAATCAGCCCGGCTGTCCATCTTTGATGGGACTGTTCGGTTGGAAGTTTCTCGATGATTAGCTCCTCCTGTTCCGAGACTCCGGAGCAGCTAAACTGGGCGTCTGCACATCCAAATTATGACTCAGTAATCACCATGACTACTAACTTACTAATGATATCCAGTTGACAGGGGGAATGTCATCATAACCACTGTAATCATCACGATCATCGTTTTAAAAGGCTTCAAGATCCACACAAAGCGCTCCTGAACCAACCGAGTACACAACAATTACCCACACTATTACGTCAGTTAAAACAACACACATTTGTGTTTTAAAATATGTACTTTAACTTTTTATGTATGTATTTATGTTTTATTTATGGCATGATTGTGTTATTTAAAAGAGAGCGGGGGGGGGGGGGGGGGGGGGGAGCGGCTTACAGTACTGCAAGTAATATTAGCATCAAACTACCTTATTACTTTAGTACTCAATATGTGGAATTATTTACATTATAATGTGAAGTTTTTTCTATAGCCTAAACTTAGGTTTTCAACAATACACAAAAAGTATGGTACTGACTGTTTAAAAAAAATATAGGCAGAGCATTTCAAGGGAGGAAGAACAGCATTTGGTGATGTCCATGACTTCAGGCTGTACAACACTGCAGGTTTTCATCCAAGGGTCAAAACAGTCCTAATATTGTGACTTAATCTAGTTGATCCATTTTCTTTTAAGCCTCTGAAAATGAGCAGCTATGTGAAAAACAATTGCTGTAATCCTTAAAGACTTTTGTTAAAGACCTTGAATTAAAGATGCAAGTCTGCACCTCAATCACTGCTTGAGTTAAAATCTATCACTATCCAAAATGGGCCAAACTGTACAGTAAAACTGTAAAACTGTTGCTGGAACTGCCTTTAGAACAATAAAACAGCACTGATTAGTTGCCATTTATAGTTTTCAATATAAATGAAGTATCTGTAATATTTTAAAATAGAATATTGCATTAGTTATACTGCACGAACATGTAATTGTTGTTTTCCAAGTAGATTTAGAGTCCCTCGCTACCTTTGCACACTTGTATCCAAGTTTAAATCATTTCCTAAACAAGAAAACAATAAACAAAGATAAATTTGACTGACAGCATTATCGCTTCTCAAATATAAACATTTACTGGTTGTTCTCTTTATAAGTAACGATAAACAGAACACAGTGTACATAGTCATGTAAACAGTTTCATCAGATGTTAGAGTAATGGCCATAAGTAGTGATGTGCATCAGTTTCAGTTTAGTTGTATCTGCAATTTAAAATAACACCTGAATATTCAGATTCTTGAACTAGATTATAATCAAATAAAAACTGCAAAGACACATTATTTTCCTTATCAGCAACAACATATTAAAGTTCCCTGGGTGACATGTAAGCATTGTGGAAGTTATAATAAAAAGCTACATTCGGTTTCATTATTGTTGACATAAGCTCCTATTGTTGTCCCAAAAAAAAAGAAATACAATAAAAATTCACAAACCAGACAGACCCCCACACACACAAACACCGGAAATATACCAAAACTAACAATCGACTTTGCAAGGTACGAGACAGGACAAACATTTTAAGAGATTACTTAACAGCTATTGTGCAAACTGAATCTAAAATTATAGTTTTACTACCATTGCCATTTTTATGTGACTTAGTTTTAGGCACACAATTTCATAGCATGGTGGCTGAAACATACAAAGCTTAGGCCTTAAAAAGAAAAAAAGAAGCAGTAACTACAGTGAACAAGGTCATAAATAGTGAAACTAGACATCAAAACAATCCACGGCACCTCACTGACAAAGGATCCAAATGGACACAAAATGTAGATTTACCAGAGTACAAATCTGAAACAATGCATATTTCAGTCAGTGTTGCTGCATGATGGCTCTGTCCAGAGGTGTTCGTTGATACCGAGGTATGTTGATATTAGATGATGGATAAAACACCTCAGCTCTTCCCCATCATCTTCAGGAGAAGCTACAAAGAAACCAGGAAATTAAGATGATGACAAAACGTATAATCCATAAACATGTGCAGAAATTAGGTTAAAAACAACTACATTTGTTGAACATTTGATGAAAAGATAATCTACAGAGATACTTTTTTGACTTGTAAACTTTTAGTCTTTTTAGTAAAAGAGCGGCTGAATGTTAGGAGGTGAAATTTGACTAGGCTATAAGTTAATACAGTATATTGATCTCATAAAGCTTTGGAAGACAGGGTGAGTGGTAAAAAAAAAAAAGCACTGACATTCATAATAATTTTCAATAACTTTGGTTTTGTTTCCATATTTACCTTTGTTAGGTGATACTCTCCGTCAACCAGCTTCTCAATAATACTGAAGTGATCTGTATTCGCCACATCCTCCATGGTGACATTCAGCCCTGACGCCTCCAAAGTCTTAAAAGGAAATACAAGAGGTAGCAAGAAAAAGAGCAGAGGAAATATCAGATTTGCATAACAACATATTTAGAAAGTATATTGATGTTTCCACCAACAAAAGAAACCCCATGTTTCCGAGTCAGGATATAATGGTTGTGATTTACATCTTAAAAGATTGTTGCTTGTTGGGTGGAGACACCAAATCACCACAAGGCCAGCAGATGATTTAACAGAACATTTTAGGAATACATTAAATGTTGTTTACAAGAACAATGACAAGCATTTCCTAGCTTGAATTTAGATTTTTGGGAGCTTTTCTTGTATTGCAAATTGAATACGAGCTCTAATTAAAAATTGGACAAAACAAGCAGTGGAGCAAAGAAAAGGCGTAACAAAGCATCAGAGTTTTAAAGGCTAAATCATTTATCTTGAATTACTCTTATACACTGATCATTAACTGCATCTGTTCTCAGACACGGGTACTGACTTTGTAAAATTCCTCAGACTGCTTGCGAAACTCTGGCGAGTCGTTCTCAGCAACAGCCACAACAATCTGACAGCTGCAGGAGGAGAGTTTGAGCTGAGAGACCAGCTTGCTGGGGCTGTTCCTAACTGCCACCTCCCTGCAAACAGCAGACAGCCACGAGACAGAGGAATGAGGCACTGACTGGCACCACAGGCCAACGGAGGACACACAGATGAACGCCAGGACATTTACACGCACAGTTTCTCCTTTGTGTTGAGCATCACGACATTCGTTCACACAATGCTCTTTACGTCACACGGACTGGCACTTAGAGCCAAATGCAAATGGTTTACTGCAGGAGTCCTTAAACTCATTTGGACAATGAAAAATGAGTTTAAGGACTTACACATTGAGAAGGAAGACAAATGTGCACATCAACCAACCTCAGCTACCAAGTTTGAGAAAGTAAGATATTTAAATTGGGAAATTGCATAAAGTGTTTACAAGTTGTGAAAGTCTAATTACTTTTTAAACCCAACTTCAGTTTGTAAACAATGGGATTACACCACTAAGCTTCCAAGGCAACCTCCAAACATTCAGGTGTGTTAGCACCAATTAATGTAGCCTCAAGAAGAGAAGCAGGCTAGGTCTGGTAACTTATTTCTAACTACACTGCTGAGGTGGTTAAGTGATTGGTTTGGTTTGTGTGTTAGAAAGAAATTTTCCTAAAACGGTAAGAACAGAAGTGAGGTTTAACCAAACTTCAAGTGACTCAGTTTTACAGTTTCTGGTAGGATTATTTACAACTATAACAACCAATACATAAAACACAAGACAACAAAGAAGTTAAATAAAAATTTTGAGACATCATATAAACGTTCTCTAGAACATACTCTTATTATGTCTGCAGCACATGTAGTAGAGTAGGACAGCTTAAGAGGTAGGTTGCTAGCTAATTTTGAAAGGTTAAACTGTAACACCACAATTGTCCCTTTATTCATAAGAGTCCAGCTTACTTTATCTATATATATATATAAATATTAAGATACTAGTTAATAACCAATTTTAAAGGGCTTTGAGGCCTTAAGCGCTCATAATAAACAATAAATTGGGCAAAACTGGTGAATTTGGCCTTTATCAGGGCATATTAACTTAGATCTGTTTTTGGTATAATAACCAACTAGAATGTAACTTCAACATCAAAGGGAAAAAATAAATTCCAGTTATTCGCTTTTATTATTAGATCTGGATCATTTCCCCTTTGAATGGACAATGTTGCTGGGAATACATCTGCTGGACTACCAAAAGCACTACAGAGTCCGAGACAGGGCTTCAACAGATGTTCAGTTGAGAGTATACAATGATACCGCATTGCTGCATCAGTTGCTTTGATTAATTTATTAACTTTTTGAAACCCATCGTCTTTAAGTATAACTACTGTTACCAAGCACAGGGTCTATGTCCACATTGGTGTTTCTAAATTCAGATAACTGTAAAAAGTGAGTCGCAAACACAACAGGGATGGTGTATGTAGTTGTACTAAAGAAGCTATCCCGCAGTCTGTAGTGTAGTGAGGCACCTACTCTGTCATCTTCAAAGGCTCGTTGACGTAGGTGGACAAGATGGGCAGGAGGTCATAGATGCCACTCACAAGAAAAGCACCTAAAACACAATCAGAAGACCAAAGTGTATCATGTTTTAACCTCCTATTTTGTTAACACTAAATTACTTCTGCCTTATTATATTACTGATTACATGTCCCGTTTCAACTGACAGCCTTCACCTTTAATCTGGGGAGTGATGCTGTACTGCGACCAGTCAGTTGAGAGGACCATTGCGGCCAGGTGTGCCCCAGCAGAGTGGCCACACAGGTACAGACCGCTGAGTGAATCATCAGAACGACACACAGTGCGTTTACAACAGAGACAGTGACATTTTAGTCAGCTGCAAATAGAATTTCATTAGATTGGGAGGCTTTAAGATGACATCCTTCAAGCCTGACATTCTTCATAATCAGGTTTAAAGAACTAAAGAAAGAAAGAAATACAATACAATACAAATATAAAAAACAAGCAATGCTACCTGATGTGAGAATACTGCTGAACGACAGAGACAATACTCCTGCGAACTTGTGATACCATCAGGTCCATGTTACCTGAGAAGAAAGGTCACAGTAGGAAGCTGACATTTTTCAGTTCATATTCTTAAATCATCCTTTTTCACCTGAGAGACGGGAAACAATACTGTCAAAAATGAAAAGACTACCTTTGGGGGCAATGTCGTAACCGACTGCAACCACCACTACACCTTTATCAACAAGCGGAACAGCCATGAACCCAGACTCCTCTTTGCTGTGTGACCACAAAAACCCAAAATGAATGACCCAGAAATCTAATTATGGTTAGAAATGTAGAGATTCCAGCAACATCACAGACCTGAGAAACTGCCAGTAGCCTCCATGTATGTAAACAACAAGGTGGACATCTGAAAGAGAGAGGATGAGGCCTGTTAATGCTATACCAGCTTCTCTGTACCTGAAGGATAACAGTGTGTGGGGCAACGATGCATGTCCGTACCCAGAGAGTTGATGTTGGGTATATAGACGTCCAGTTTCTCTCCATCTCCCTCCCCATATGGGACATTGAGTAAAGTTTGAGCCATACCACGGGCTCGCTCCGTACCTGAACAGCAGACAGCATTAGGTACAACGCCATGATTACAGATACAAAGAGACCAAATGCATGTTTTTCTACTGCTGACAAATTAACTAGAAATCATTCTGAGCAATGCTGCGTATTTTCATATCAGTATATGTATTTTACCACTTAAATTAAAAACATTTATCAAAAATGAAAACAGGCAAAACTGGTGATTTCTATCAGGAAAAAGGTTTCAGGTTTAAGAAGAAATGCCCCAAATATGTTTATAGCCCTTAAAACTACATGTATAATGACAGAGACTTATTAGCATTACTTATTCACTGAGGTTTTGTTTTTAAAAAGTACTCACACTACATTAAATATCCAAAATACGTAGTTTTATGCGTAATATGCACAGGTGTAGGATCTTGTAATCTCGCAGATTAAAGAGTAAGTCTTAGAGTAAGTCATTAAGCACTGTGAGTGTTTTTATAAATGCTGCACAATGAAAAAAATGTAGCTTCTCTGTCAGAATATGTGTCAAGGCTTCAAAGTAAGGCACAAATAATCGACCCGGACACAGATGTCCCCGAATATCCGACATTTGGCACGACACCTGTGTTCCTGCTGCCCTGCCTGTTCGCCACAGCCGAGTTTCACAGTCGTGTGTATCCAGCTTCAAAACAAACCCACCTTCCTTTAAAGCCTTCACGTGGGCTTTGATCACGTCGTCGGCCGACATCCTGGTGGACCACCTGCTGGGGGAATACTGCCTCTCGAGCTCCTGCAAGACAGAGAAACTCCTGAGAGCTGCGCGGCCATGAAAGAACAGACACCAACCACCATCAGCCGGCGACCAGCGACGTAAATACGGTGAACAGCGCCTTCTGCTGCCGCAATTACACCGCTGCTTTGGTGCTTATATTACTCCAAGTTCTTTTTATTGTTATCAGAATGGGAGTCCTGTGATATAGTTGTGACGAAAACATTAAAAAAATATATTTGGAAGGTGAAATAGGTGAGTGAAATTACACCAGGGCTGCTAAAAAAAGAAAGGAAAAAATGCTACTGAATATTATTAAATGCACACTGCAGGAACTGTCCACTACAGTTAGACTGTGTATATTGGGCATTGTTATCTGACAATTACTTAAAAAAAAAACTTTTACAAACTATAGTAGTGTACGTGTTATTCTGTTTTATTCTGTTTTATTTTGCTTTGTTAAATTTATTTTAGTAAGGAAGTAAAATGTATTTATTGTGGCTCAAGAGTTGGGAGTTCGCCTTGTAATCGGAAGGTTGCCAGTTCGAGCCCCGGCTCGGACAGTCTCGGTCGTTGTGTCCTTGGGCAAGACACTTCACCTAC